CAGGTACTTTATAAATTTTGGACACGCTAGTTCCACCATTCATTTGGGAAACAATGACTTAAGTTATTTTCTTTTATAGAAATGCAAGAGAATTACTTTTATGAGAATATATGTAGAGAGTTAACCATGCTAAGGATTAATGCAGACATTTAGTTTTTTTTTTTAAGGTCAAAAGGTTCTGCTACCAGAGATAAGGATATGCAGCATTCTGTAATCATCTTCTCCTAAGAACAAATTATAGCATGTAGGTATAACCAATATTGAATAACAGAAGTCCAGAACCCTACAACATGTCTGCACTCCTATTTATAAAAAGAGTAACTGTGACCCCAAGGACACCACCACTCCCCTGGTTTTCTTCTATGTCATTGGCCACCACTGTTTAGTCTCCTCCTCCTTTTCATCTCCCTAACCCTTTATTGTCAGATTCCACAGAGCTCAAACTATGGACCTTACCTTTTCTCTATCTCTACTGTGTTCCTCAGTAATCTCCTACAGTCCCATGACCTTTTTAAATTTAATATTTGGGGACAATTGTATATTCACATGCAATTGTAAGAAATAATATATATTGATTCCATGTACCTTTTGTCCAGTTTTCTCCAGTGATAACATCTCACAAAATTATAGTACAAAATCATAATCAAGATACTGACAGTGATATAATATACCAATTAATTCATATTACTCTGGTTTTACTTATATTCATTCCAATGGCATTTAACAGTGTTCAATGATACTTACAGCCTAGAAACTCCCCTAACCTCACACAAGTGAATGACTATGGCATCTCCATTTGGATGTCTAAGAGGTATCTCAAACTAAAACATGTCCCAAGTCAGAGTCTTCATCTTCCCTTCCAAATGTATTCTTCCTAGTCTTCCCCATCTCAATTAATAACAATAATGCCATCTTTCTAGTTGCTCAGAGTAATAACTATGAAGTCATCCTCTTCTCTTACTTCACATCCAAACCAACAACAAATTCAAAATATACCCCAAATCAAACCTTTTATCACCCACACTGCTAGTTGCCTAGCCTAACCCTCTGCCATCTCCTACCAGATTATTACAATAGCCTCCCAACTAATCCTCTGAAATTTGCCCTTGGTCTTCTAGAGTTTACTCTCAAGACAGGGGCTAGAGTAATATAAACACTCTTCTCTATTTAAGGTTATTTGTTGATTGTAGTTTTTACTGAGATATAAAAGACTTCACTATTCAAAATCTTCTAATAAACAGCTTCTTATCTCAGAGTAAAAGCCAAATTCACACATGGCCTACATTACCTCCCACGCCCTGCCTCCTACTGCTCTCTCTCTCTTCCTCACTCATTTGCAACCAACCCAGTCTCCTTGCAGTTCAGGTTTTCACTCCAGTGTCGACTCAAAGGCCTTTTCTGACCACCAACTTTCAAATGGAAGCCTCCCACCTCCAACCCTGTACTCCTTATTCCCCTTCCCTACTCAATTTTTCTCCCCAGTATTGACCACAATCTAATATACCATATGTTTTATCTACTTTTTATTGTCAGTCTTTCAGCACTAAATAAAACATGAGCTCGAGGAGGGTAGAGATTTCAGTTCATTTTTCTAGCACTTAGAATCGTGCCAGGCACAAATCAGATGTTTAAGAAACCACTGAATAAATAAACAAGGCCCAAAACAGCAAGGTGTTTTGCCAAAATGTGACACAAATATGGCAAGAGTCCTAAGTCTATGTAGCTTAGGAATCATTTTTTCTAAGAATGGTGATGGACTCAAACTGAACCAATATCACTTTTTATTCAGTGGTCACCAAAACAAACATGCATGAAATGACAATTTCTGATGAAGTGAATAAACTTGATGGTAAGGAGGGATCAGACTCAAGCTAAAACCAAATTAAAATTCAACCACTGCCTATAATAAGCAAATTTTACATCAACTGCCTTAATGTTTTATTTAAACCAACTTTTTAAAAAAGGAGTTATAGGTGATAGAACTTTAAGAACTTAAACTTCAAGAAAATAAACTGGATAACACTATAAGATAGAGTCCTAGGAAAGAACACAATGCAGTACTCCTACATTGTTCTATCAAGAATGTAGTTTATCAGGGGACCTGGGTGGCTCAGTCGGTTGAGTGTCTGACTCTTGATTTCAGCTCAGGTCATGATCTCACGGTTCATGAGTTTGACCCTGCATCAGGCTCTCTGCTGGCAGCCCAGAGCCTGCTTGGGATTCTCTTTCTCTGTCTCTCTCTTCCCCACCCCTGCTCGTGTGCACTCTCTCAAAGTAAATAAATAAAACATTAAAAAAATAATGTAGTTTATCATATTTTTGAGCTTTAACCAAGGTAGAGCAAAACAAAGATGTATAAACAAAAAGGAACTTATGCTAAAAACAGAAAGAAGTTGTTGTTTCTGGGCAAAATTTTAAAATATTTTTTAAAATTGGGTAGAAAGAGGATGAATGACAAAAATTTTCTAGAGACAGATAAGGAAATAAAGACTAATATATCACCATGTCAAATTATTAAGAAACAAGCCACTTTGGGAGCTTTTGGAAAATCATTCATTTACAGTACAAATTATTTTGGAAATGTAACACTAATGGGTTCAACTTATTATTCTTATTATTTACAAGGAGCACATTTTATAATAAGTAGTCATCTAAGTTGGCTTTAAATCTCTTTCAAAGTAAAATTAAAGAAGTTTTGATTTTAGAGTAAAAAACATAACTGAGGTCATACTTTCAGAGGCTCCTAACCTCACAGCAGGTAAGATCACAAAAAGCATTTTGCTTGTTTTTAAAATTCAAGAAATTGGTATACTATAGTGACCTTTCAATTGTTCTGGAGGAAAAAATGCAAGATGCATTAAGTAGACACAGCTTTCAGTTTGCAGGCCAAATAATAACAAGGCCTCCATAAAACAATTAAAGCAATGCTCCTATTTATATGATAAAAATCTATAGCTTTCATATGAATTCTTTACTGGTAAATAATTCCTGAGGCACTTAAACAATACAACTTTTATTAAAAGAAATTAATAGCATCAAAACTGTTTATATCTATATTTAATATAGCTAAAATAAACAAATGTTCAATATTTAAAATATACATATGTATGAGGGAATATATATATAAAATATAACAACTGCATTATTGGCCCCCATCATTTTTAATGTTACCTTTACCCAAAGAGACTACATTAATGGTTAAGTGGCTATTTTGTATTTGATGTACAAACATGTGACTTTAAAACTTGTTTTAAGGTCTGCAAGAAGAGGTTCTGCCAATTCTTTACACTTTAAAATTCACAATCATTAAGATAATATTAATAATAAATATCCCAAAGTAAGACAGAGGATATAATAATGTCTAATGGTCTGACCAACAGCCAAATTAAAAAACTATAAATAGGCAGCTATAAAGAAATCCACAGAGAATTCCAGGGAATCTCTTGGAGTTCTTAACAAAACAAAGCAAACACTAAACAACAGTTTTCAAAAAAAGAATATAAAAATAGACATCATAAAATAGACATCTGTAAATCTGGAGAACATAAAACCAAGCTACCAAAATTAAATTTTTTTTAATTCAAAAATCTGAGAACTGGTATTGCTAAAACTCTATAATAAAGTTAGCACTGAGTAACATATTTTAAATGATAGAAAAATAACTGCAATTTGGAACATAAGTTTAGAGACCTGTTGTTCCAAGGACATAAAAATAACCATGGTTTCCTAACAACCAGAGAGCTTTTGTATTCCTTGGACTGCATTCATGCTAGATAAAGATTAAAAGGTAGCAGCCAAAATGACTACACTTCAACTTGGATGTTGAAGCACTTATCTGAATGGGTTTTCTTGGCCACAAGTGACCCACAAGCCTAAGATCAAGAGCCAAGCCCCCAGCGGGAAGTTGTGCTCAATTTGGTGGGCTTAAAACCATCTCTGGCTAAATCAGCATCAGCCTTACGGGAGGCCAGCCATGAAGGAAGGGAGTCTCCCCAAAATCTGATTTCTTGAGACCACAACCTAGAGCAGGTCCCACAGTCAAATTATTCACATTCCTTGGAAAGAGAGAACAGGCATCAGTTGTGTCCATCGAAGGGGGACACTGTCCAGGTGTACCCTGGACATTTTTTGAAATCTCTGGGCTGCCTCTGCATCTGAAAAATAAGAAAAATAGTACAATGACAGACAACAGATGAGGAAAAAGACAATCATTTGGCCTAAAAGCTTAAGACTTATAAGAAATTAAGAAAGTAGACAAAACAGACAAAAAGACAAACAGCTATATCATTTAGAATGTATTATTCTGAAGGCAAGTACAGCAGAGAAAAACGCAAATTATTTTAAGCAAAGTAAGAAATGACCGTAGCAACAAAAGTTATTTTTGGAGAGAGCCAACTGGGGAAAAAAAAAAACAAAAAACATATGTTAAGATATGTCAACCTGACACAAAGATAAGGTGGAATAAGAATCTAGTCCCATTTGAAGCTGAAAATTGCTGAATAATGAGAGCTAGTGTCATGAACTTGGCTGCTTAACTGCCTTTGTGTAAGAAAACATCTCAGAACTTTGAACTTAGGAAATTCCAACTTGTCTTGCACCAGGTCACGAGCTCCAAAGAGCAGGAACCTATTTCAACAAGCAGCTTTAAAAAAAAAAAACAAACAAACAAAATACTTTAATATTTTTCATTTCTATTAATGATACATTTTAAAATGCAATAGTGCTAAAATCCATCAAATTAAATTGCACTGAATTAAAAATTAAACTTACTCAGAAAGATGTTCAGAAGTTGGGATACAAACAGAAACTGAAATCAGAAGAAAAGTTTTATATTTAAAATGGCATATGCAATATGAGTGAGAATAACGATTTAGTAAAGAGCTCATATTGTAGCTGACCAAAAATACTGGGACAAATTTCAAAAATCCAAAGTAATGCAATTATAAATACGTACCTTTCTCTATTACAACTTGACAAGTATGAGTTTCATGTTGACTTAAGTGTGTGGCCATATTATCTAAGCCAGAAACATCAGCTATGAAATCACAATTAAGGCACACTAGAGTAATGCCCCTATAAAAAAAAAAAAAAAAAAAAAAAAAAAAAAGCAAACAGTATAAAAGAAAAGGTTTTCATCTTTTATAAAAATCCATATACAAGTTCAATGATTACTTTTCTATAATTTGCTTTTTATGTCATAACTGTCACTCCCATTTTTATTATAGAAACTTGATATAACTGAAATGATTCTCTAGAAAATGGAAGAGCCATATTCAAGTTATACTACTATTTATTTACAGAAAGTATTTTTGCTTTATAACTGTTGTTTAATGTTTGTTTATTTTTGAGAGAGAGAGAGAGAGAGAGAGAGAGAGCAGGGGAGGGGCAGAGAGAGAGGGAGACACAGAAGCCGAAGCAGGCTCCAGGCTCTGAGCGGTCAGCACAGCGCCTGATGCAGGGATCAAACTCACAAACCATGAGATCATTACCTGAGCCAATGTTGGATGCTCAACTGACTGAGCCACCCAGGCACCCCTGCTTTATAAACTTTTACAGTTCATGTCAGTTGCTAAAACCTGGGTGACAAGAGATCTATAGCCCAACCTTGGCTGTACTAACAACATGTGTCTCTTCAATAAGTCACAATCTATTTGTGCCTCTGCTCATCTGCAATGCAAGCATACAGTATTCATTCACTTAATGTATGTTTACTAAGGCTTCTTGATACATACTGTAATATTATACTGTATTGTGATTATAATGATGACCAAAAATATAGTCTGTGCTCTGAAAGAGTTTATAATCTAGTGTTTCACTTAGGTGATGAAAAAATTAGAAAAGAAACATTAAGGCTTTAAAAACAGATCATGTTGTAGCTGCCATCAATTGTGTACCATATGTTAAAGGTATTGCCACTATTCTCATTTAACGCTGTATTAACTAAAGTAGTTAATTCACCATAAAAGTGCAAAGCTTGAGGTACTTAGTATATCAGCACTGGCAACTGGTCCACTTGCTGGAGCCAAAATTATGAGTTCCCCTAAGAAAACCTCACTGGGTGTTGTAGTTCCTAAATGAAATCTGTAATGATTACAAATTTTCAAAAATATTAGGAAAGAATTCTCAAAGCCATTGATACTTTTTGTTGAATAGTTTTTATACTCATTGGATCAAACTGTGTAGCATTTGCTATTTGAAGTATTTAAACACAATTGGCATATTGCAGGATGTGACACTGGCCTTAAGATTTAAATTGTGTTTAAACGTCTGATTTTTTGTTGAAAGGTATTCTAAAATATTATTAAGCCTGCAAATATATGGAAGTGTTTCAGAGAATTTAGAAAACGACTATATGCTTAATTTATTATATTGACTAGAGTTAAGCACTTGGGATCTTGTGTGTCAAGCATCAGAAGTGCTGTTTAAAAAAGTCAAATATATTAAAAGTATAAATGATGTTAAGTTGTTAAGGAACCTGAACTATAAATGGGACTGTTTAAAAAATTTATTCAACTTAAATGAACTTTTTATCAAACATTAATTAAAAGCTCTCTTGAAAGTGATTATTAAAATGTACTAGGGGCACCTGGGTGGCTCAGCTGGTTGAGCCTGTGACTTCGGCTCAGGTCATGACCTCACAGCCTGTGAGTTTGAGTCCCGCTTCAGGCTCTGTGCTGACAGCTTAGAGCCTGGAGTCTGCTTCGGATTGTGTCCCTCTGTCTCTGCCCCTCCCCCACTCACCCTGTCTCTCTCCCTCTCTCTCTCTCTCTCAAAAATAAACATTAAAAATTTTTTTAAAAAATTACTAGATTTCCAGATGGAATATTTTAAAGTTAAACTTAAAAGCTTAAGGGAAGTTAAGATTTAAATACTTTAATAACCAATTATATAGTCTTCTCTATTAAACTACCCTTGCAGAAACTAAAAGCAGTCTCAATGGTAAGCAGTAGCTAAATTACTCTTCCACTAGTCATAGTTCCTGGGACCTTCACTAAACAAGGATTCTTAATTAGAATTTGTAATCAAACTTCTTGATCTGGGAAGACGTGGGGGAATGGGACTGCTATATTTGAGTCATCAGTAAAGAAGGCTGGTCTGCACTGAGAAAGGAAAATGGAACACAAGTCCAGAGAAAATATTAAAGACAAGATCATCCTGCCTCAGCAGCTCAGACTAGAGAGAAGCAATGTTAGCAATTGGTAGCTTTCTATTTCCCTCATTTGTTCTGGTTCCACCTCCTCCTCTTATGGGTTCATGAGATTCTTTGGAATCCTGCTTATAAGTTATTTTTGCTTAGGTAAAAAAAAAAAAATAGATTATGTGATGTGATCATTGTTACCGTCAATTTATCAACAAAGCATCAATATACCCTTGAAGTTCATCACATAACTTAATAAATTTAAGTGTTTTACCAATATACAAATACAAACAAATAACATACCTTAGATTGACTTATCTGAAGTTCTACTCTAACAATGTGATGTGTATTTACACCTAGATGTCATATTAGGACATTAAAACTGACCTTTGTTAAAATCATGTACTTCCTTCCCAAATTAATTTCTCCTGACTTGTCTTTCTTATGATGTTTCCTCTGATAGTAAAACTCAAACTATAGTTATCTCTGTCTCTTCTTCCTTAAAATAATAAGTATGGCAAGGATTTTATAATATTTATTTATACTGTGCCAAGCTAACAATTTTAGACATACATCTACCATCTTATCTAAATATTTTAACAACCCAAAAAGGCAGGTGCTAGAATTTATTATCTTTTTATAAAGTTAGCTTAGTAAACTACCAAGGATATAGAGCCGGTAAAGGTAAGCACTAGGTTTGAAACTGAGCACTTTGATTCCAGAGCCCATAGTCTCAAAGATAATATAATACTGCCTCATCATTTTAACTAACTAAATTGTTCATAACTACAATTGTCCCAATCTGTAGGATTCATGCATCTATAACTCATCCTATTGTTAAATCTTCCTTATCACTTGATTCTATATAAAATATCAACGGTTCTCCAATGTTCTCCAACTTACGTCCAAGTTCCTTAACCTTATTTTCAACACTTTTATAATTTGGCTCTAGGCTTAAAACTCAAGCTCAAGACTTCTTTCCTTATTACCATTAGCTGAACTTCATGCTCCATCCATTTACTACTAGCTATTCCCTCTGTATGCCTTGTACTTTCTCATTTCTGCACCTTTATTCACACTATTCCTTCTAACTCGAATACCTCTGTGCACCTTCTTTTTTTTATTTTTTTTTTATTTTATTTTTTTTTTAAATTTTTTTTTTCAACGTTTTTTATTTATTTTTGGGACAGAGAGAGACAGAGCATGAACGGGGGAGGGGCAGAGAGAGAGGGAGACACAGAATCGGAAACAGGCTCCGGGCTCCGAGCCATCGGCCCAGAGCCCGATGCGGGGCTCGAACTCACGGACCGCAAGATCGTGACCTGGCTGAAGTCGGACGCTTAACCGACTGCGCCACCCAGGCGCCCCATGTGCACCTTCTATCAGTATAAATATTCATTCTTTAAAGCCAAGTACACCTAACACCTATGCAGATATTTCCAAGTAAAACAACCACTCTTTCCTTTGGGAAAAAAAAAAGACTCTACTGAACTTAACAAACACCTCCTTGATTTATTATAGTTTTATATGTTCATGCCTTATCTCCCACCCAATAAACTGTACATTCCCTAAAGGCTGGTTCCAAGACTAATTCATCACTGTCCTCTTCATAGGACCTGCTATATTATGTACCTGGTAGATGTATCATAAATAGCTAAAGAGTGACTATTCCAATCTAATAAAAGACTAATTACAAAAACTACTGTTCTACAATTATAAGTATGCTACGTCCATTCACAGAAATTGACCATTTTCAATTTGAGACCTATTCCAGTTGAAAGAAAAGTATTCCAGATATTTAAAATCATATAGTTCATTTAAAACACATACACACAATTGAGCTTGAAACATTATGGTAAAAATCAAACTTAGGGGATCTGGGTGGTTGCGTCAGTTAATCATCCAACTCCTGATTTCAACTCAGGTTATGATCTCATAGTTGTGGGAGGTTCTGTACTCTCAGCACAGAGCCTGCTTGGGATTCTCTTTCTCCCCCCCGCCCCGCCCCTTCCCTGTTCATGTACACTCTCCTCTTTCTCTCTCTCTCTCAAAATAAATAGATAAAAACTTAAAAAAAAATCAAACTAAAATCTCATCTTTTGAAAAAAGCCCTTTTTATTCTTATAAAAATTTTTAGTAAGGGCAACATGTAATATAATCTTAATCTATTTCCTTGAATTCAGTAAATGTTTTAAAATCTGTACTAATGCATTTTAAAAGCTGAATCAAAATTTTCTCTCCCTGTAAGCCACTGATCCCTATATAATAGATGGGGCCTATTCTGTTCATATAAATCTGTTATATAAGACTTATATGACTGTTCATATAAGTCATTTTCAACATATACATTAACTTATTCAACAAATATTTACTGAGTACCTACCATGTGCCAGGCACTAATCCATTCCTGGCAGTGACAAAAATCCAAACCTCACATATTCTAGTGAGAGCACACAGAAAAATTTAAAAGTAAAGTATACAGTATGTCAGATGATAAAAGATGATCTGAATGAAAATGAGCATAAAAAGGAGATAGGGAGTGCTGGGGTAAAGCACAGGGGAGAAGATATAATCTAAAAATCAAGCGGTCAAGGAAAGATTCAGAGTTGCAACCCAAAGGAGATAACAGACTAATACATCTGGGGAATGAAACTAGTCATAGGAACCAGTAAGTACAAAGATCCTGAAACAATATCATCCCTTTTTCTACCTTTTCCACTAAGTCAAAGCATCAAAACAAGTACTGGCTAACTTTATCTCTATATATTAGCTTGGTGCAGCAAAGACACTGATATTCCAAGTAGCAATGGCAACATGAACAAAATAAAGAACAAGAGAGTCCAAATGCTTCAAAAGAATATTTAAAAAAATGGTGTTCAGTGGATTCTGAGTTAAGTGTGTAGTACAATCAAAATGAATTATCAATATCTTTAGAAATACTCATCAACAGTTCTTTCTACATGGTAAGCAAGTTGTGCACTTATCTTTATTTGAAAAAGGAAAAATAAGAATTATGAAGCTACATAGTAATTTCAAGAATTCCAGTGGTTTAAGAAATTTACTTCAAAACTAAAAAAGTGTTAGTCACTTTACTAGGTATCTTAGGTTATCTTTTTAATAATCAAATATTGTTGGACAGCCTTATTTTTGTTCTCATTTTATAATATAAATGAATGAAGATATAACTTGTCACCACTGAAATTTAGCAAAAGAATATAGGCTAATCATACCTCTAATCTAAGGACATAATGAATAGAACTCTCCAATGTCCAGTAGCAATCATTTAGATTTCTAAATCGGGCATTCTGATATAAGGTTTAAAAATAGGACAACCACAATAAGATACCACTTCAAACCCACTAGGATGGCTGTAATCAAAAAGAGGTAATAACAAGTGTTGGCAAAGATGTGAAGAAATTGGAACCTTCATATATTTCTCATGGGAATGTAAAATAGTAAAGGTACTTTGTAAAACAGTTTGGCAGCTCCTCAAAGGTGCAACACAGAGTGACCATATAGCCCAGAAATTCTAATCCTACATATACACTAAAGAGAAATGAAAACACAAATCCAGACAAAAGCTTGTACACAAATGTTTATAGCAACAATATTCATAATGGCTTCAAAGTTAAAATAACCTTAATAGATAAACAAACTATGGTAGATGCATACAATGGGGTATTATTCAGCAATTTAAAAAGTGAAGTACTGAAATGCTACAACATGGATGAATCTTGAAAATATGTTAAATGGAAAAAGCCAATCACAAAGGATCACATATTGTGTCATTCCATTTATATGAAATGTCCACAATACACAAATCTATACAGACAAAAGTTGTATTAGTGGTTGCTTAGGGATGGGAATAGTTGGAAGGAAATGGGAATGACTATAAATGGGTACAGAGTTCCTTTTTTGGAATGACCACAATGTACTAAAAGTAACTGTGGTGATGGCTGCACAACTCTGTGAATACACTAAGAACTGTTAATTGTACAATGTAAAGGCATGAATTACATGGTATATGAACTATATTTCAATAAAGATGTCATATACATCACACATAATTGAAGTTCTACAATTTTTCAATAGAATTTAAAAAGATCAACTAGTTACCTGAGATCTTCTGAGTGCTTCTTAAAAATACAAAACCTTTTACTTGGACGATTACTATGAAAGCTGGAGAGACAAAGCAAATTTTATTTATTTTATTATACAGTAAGTCATATTAATTTATAGCTTTATTATCAAGCCTATACTTAAGTTTCTAGTTTTGAACAAAAGATCATAAGTAACAAAATAATGCTTATCATCACTGTTTAACTTGACATTTTATCTTAAATTCCACTTTATCTATTTATTTTTAATGACACATATTTCTCTAAGCATATTCTTGTATGACCAGTACTTCACCATTACATAAAAAAAAAGGAAATATGCAAGAATTTTTTTAAAAAGTAAAGCACATCAAACCAGTTTTTTTCATCTGTTACAGAAGAGTTGAAGACACTTTTAAATGTCTGCAAATAACATTTTTGTATAATATGAATCATGGTCAATAATCACTTTTTTAAACTCATTTTCCAATCTTAACATGCCTGTGTCAGGGGAGGGGGAGTAAAATCCAAATGATCTTTGAAGTAAACAGTCCTTCAGCTAAATGCCACTCTTTACCATTTGTGAAATCAAACATTTAAAGAGTTCCTTGCAATTACTAGTAGAGGTTTTTTTTAAAAAAACAAATTTAAGCAGAACCCTAGAACTAAAATAATGCTTCCCCTAAACACAAAACAGAGAACCACTAACCATACTTTGTACACACGATAATAGCTTTCACATACCCTTTTAAATCTGGTAAAGAAAGCTTTCCTGTATTAGAAACCAGGATTAGCTTAGCACCGTATTACTGAAAAGTCGTAGACTAATAACATCAGCATCACCCAGGAGATTATTTAAAAATGCAAAGTCTTGTAACCCCCACAAACCTAAGTGAATTGATCTCTGGCAGAGGGGCCCACTAGAATCCATTTTAACAAGGTTTTCCGGTGATTCTTATTTATGCAAGCTAAACATTGAGAAGCAGCAGCCCCAGTAGCCATCATCCACGTCAATGGTCACTCTCAAATACAAGGTAACCATCACCAACACCGTATGTATGTATGGGAAAAGAAATATACTGTCACTAGCTATAATCCCCAGAAAATATCTTCAGAAGACTTCTAACAGTCATTTCTTCAATTTGAGGATAAATACTATTAAAGAGTTTATAAATTCAAGACAACATCACAAAAATAATTGGGTTTTTTGTAGAACACAGTGGGTTAGAAAACACTGAAATTACATACAAAAATTTGTGCACATATACTGTGCTTCTTCAGAAGAATAAATCCAAGATTTATCTGATTCCCAAAGAATGTGAATCAAAATAAGGTACTCTTTAATGAGATTTAAAAGTTACTTTTGAAAGCTATTTTTTCTTTCTCTTCAAACAGACTATTTTGGTTTTATTTATTTGGTAAGAGGAGAGGAAAAGATTACATTTTAGGGACTTTTTGATGGCTTCCATTTCTGTATATAACTTGTACCTTATTAAAATGTTGGTAATTTTATAATTCTAGTTGTCTGAATCCAGTTTATTTTTTTAATGTTTATTTATATTTGATGGAGAGAGAGAGTGCACAAGCAGGGAAGGGGCAGAGAGAGAGATGGAGACAGAATACCAAGCAGGCTCCAGGCTTTGAGCTGTCAGCACAGAGCCTCACGTGGGGTTCAAACCCATGAGCTGTGAGTTCATGACCTGATGCGAAGCCGGACGCTTAATCGACTGAGCCACCCACGTGCCACTGAATCCAGTTTTAATTTAGAGTTCCCTATCTATGTAAAAGCTTATCAAGTCTCTTTATTCACATTTATTACATAAATTCCATTCTTTATTATTATCCTTGTATTATAGAAATGGAAAAGCGGATCCATATAGCTCACAAAAAGGAAAAGAAAAAGTAACAATCCTTCTTCTTCCTATTAGATCTGCATAAAGTTAATAACAATATAGGGGCGCCTGGGTGGCGCAGTCGGTTAAGCGTCCGACTTCAGCCAGGTCACGATCTCGCGGTCCGTGAGTTCGAGCCCCGCGTCGGGCTCTGGGCTGATGGCTCAGAGCCTGGAGCCTGTTTCCGATTCTGTGTCTCCCTCTCTCTCTGCCCCTACCTCGTCTGTCTCTGCTCTGTCTCTCTCTGTCCCAAAAATAAATAAACGTTGAAAAAAAAAATTTAAAAAAAAATAACAATATAGGAATCTAAGAAAAGAGAAAAAAGTTAAAATTTTAAAAACAATATAGTAAAAACAGGTTAAAAACTAGATTCTAAAAGTTCACTACCTAGTTATACGACTGTATATAATTATCAAAACTCATTAAGCTATTCTCTAAAAATAAGTGAATTTTATTGTGTATAAATTATACCTCAATAAGGCTAGAGGGAAAAAACTCCCTTTGACCATATTTTCTTAATAATCTTAATTCAGTCTAATAACAATTTGTTTCTGATGAAACACAAAAGGAGCATCAACAATACTGATGGTATGTCTACAATTTAAGACCCTAGACTAAAGGTTGATGATACAAAAAGAAAGAGGGCAAGTTGTCTGCCCTATAAGTGAAGGTCCAAGGGGACAGTGGGGGGAAAGGGGAAAAAGTCAAACAGCAGCTGGCAAAGAATAAATGCCTAATAAATGGTTAAATGAATGCATACATATTTACTAATAATTATAAACATTAATAGTGACACATATGAAATTTTGTGGCTACCTGAAGGAAAAATGCAGATATATGCAATAGAAACCAGCTAACAATTAGGAGTTCATTTCAGTTAAGAAGGTCACTACTGCATTGCTCCAGACAAAACAGAGAGCAAGATACAGAGGGATTTTCAAGAAAATAAGCATTAAAGGAGCTGAAAAGGTGGTTAGAAATTAAATATTGAAAGGTCTCATATTCTCCAAAAAATTTGAACTTCATGACTACTATTGTTAGGAATGCAAAGGATTATAGGCCAAAAAAGACCTGACCAGATATGCCTACTGCAGCAACAGAAGAAAGGAAAATTTGGAAAAAATGTGTGTGGTGGGAGGACGGTTTGTGGAAAAGACATCAATTATGATGCTATCACAATTATGCAACTGTTCTTCTAATGACTATTATTTAATGCCAATAAATCTATACAAAGCATATAATGAACTCAAGCATATCTTATAAAAATTAATTCAGTACTGTCTTCCTCACTGTATATTTCTTTTTCCTTGGAAAAATTTTAAATCATCCTGTAAAGCCTAAGTGAAATGTCCTTTATAGAATGCCTCCCCTTATTTCTTGCTTAAAGAACTCATTCTTACCTTCTCCGTGCTCCTATAGTCATTTATTTACCACATTTAGTTAGGTAAATTATCTCTATCCTACTAAACTGTGAAAATTAAAGGCAAGGACTTTATCCATAATACCTAACAATGACAACTCAGAAATAATAACAGCTAAAATTACTTGAATATCTCCTAAACAAAAATCATTTTATTAAGCATTTTAAGTACATTTTCTGTAATTATCACAATGACTTTCTTTTCAAAAAAAGGAAGCTGGGAGTCAGGTTAAGTAATTTGCCCAAAGTCAAACAGGTAATAAATAATTGGTGAAGCTTGGATTCAAATCCAGATTTGTCTCATTCTTCACCACCAGTTTGCCATACGTCTTAGCAAACAGTAAACTGTGCTAGAAAAAGAGATAAACACTTATGTCCGTTAACTTAATTCTATTACACGTAGAGAAGAAGCCTTCCTATATATAATGTTGGGGAATAATAACATTATCATATGGTAATTTATTTCTTTTTTCAGGTGACTTCAATTGCTACCTAAAAGCTATAAGCAAATAAGGTGCAGTAACTTAAACAACCAAACACAAGTAACAGTTACTTTTTAAAAAAATCAGTTAAAAATTACATGTTTAATGATGCTCTTCTTCAAAAGCCTTATTTCAAATATACTCCAAATGCATCAAAAATTTTTAATATCCTTTTTTGAGATTTTATTTAGAGTCTTTTATAATTACAACAAATAATAATTATGACTTACTATTCCTACTGTGCTAGGTGACATGGTGAATACAAAGAGCCCCTTCTTCTCAAAGAAACAAATATAATAAAAGGCAGAATAAATGAATGGTATACAGCTGAAAGTGAGGAACGATCCCTGTGAGTGCTTGTGGTGATCAGATACCCCCAAAAAAGAAGGTAAACAGAAAAGAAGAACAGGAACATTCTAAAGACTAACAAAGAATAAGGAGACACAAATGTCAAAAATGAGATTTGCAATAAACTTTATTTTGGGGAAGAGTAGTCAATTTATGGAGATGGGAGTCTTTAAAGAATGGATTGGGGCAGATATGAGACCAGAGGGGAAAAGACCAATTAAGAGTACAGACGTGATATAGAATAGAGATTAAAGGTCCTCATCCTCTAGAGACTGAAGTTTCTGTACATAGAGAATTCAAGCCTATAATATGAATTCACACTGGGTAGAGGTAATGGTGGGACCATTCAATGGGAGATACCTAAGGCAGTGAATAAGGCAAGTGCACCAGTACATAAAAAGGAAAAGAGACTTACGAAACCCTAAAAGTGGCAATGGAAGCTTGTAGTTCCATAAGAGACTAGCAATGAGTAGGAGCTCAGTATGTGATGATGATGAAGAGCAGGGTTGGGCTCATTGGGAACTGGAAAATGGGTATGAGGGAGTTGGGCTAATTGGCAATATTTTGGAAGAGAATGGATTTAGAGGTTTATAGGACAGGTAGGAAGCCTATGACAAATGGAAGAGGGAAGGGTGGAATGATGCTTGGTTTAACAAAACAGAACATACACACAACCAACACCGCAAAAATACAAACAGTAATAAGAGAATATTAAGAGCAATTATATGTCAACAAATTGGGCAATCTCAAAGAAATGGACAAACTCCTAGAAAAATATAAAATACCAAAACTGAAACAGGAAAAAGTACAATATTTGAACAGACCCATAACCACTTAAGGAAATTGAATCCGTAATCAAAAATCTCCCAATAAACAAGAGTCCAGGGCCACATGGCTTCCCAGGGGAATTCTACCAAACACTTAAAAAAGAGTTAATAGC